GTGGAGCAGATTTCGTTGCTTGGTTCAGCCAAAGTACCCTAGCGCGTAACGTCTTTAGTTGTATCCGCTGACGAAGTTTGATTGAAAAATGCCGATCCCAAAGGATAATTGCTCCGTCGAATGGCGATTTTGTCGGCATGTTTTTTCACTTTTGTTGCATGATCTGTCAGTGCAACGCATCCACGTGAGCCATAGTTAATTAAGTCACTACAATACACACAATAAGCTTTGCCTGCTACGTCAAAGCTTATTGTCCAAGAGCTTCTGTAACTTCGTCGAACTTGGAACCAATTTTAACCTTTACAGTGACTTTTCTGTCAAGCCAGTCCAATCGGAATTTATTCTTGACATTTGAGTCAATTTCTAGGATTAAAGACTCCTGATCTTTCGTCAAAAATTTCATAATTCCGCTCAAAACGATCCCAGAACAATGAATTTGCGAGACGAACAGGCCGCCATGAATCAGGTAAAACAATATGTTACATGCAATTTGATTGGTCCAATCGCTTGTAGTTAACCAATCGCTGCGCCGTTTATAATCGAGCTAAGACTTCCGCAACAAATAATGCCTTCAGTGATCTGATTAGTTGAAGCTTTCATACACGTCCAATCGCAGGGCTGTTTACAAACGGAAAACGGAGAGACTGTTCGGGAGAGCTCGTGAAAACTCGACGATAAGGTACCTGACCGCCCCTAAAATTTTCTCAACGGATTTAGACGATTCACGAAAATGATCAATTTAAGAAATAAAACGGCGGATTTCCGCGGAAAATTGCCATGTATGAAATAGTCAACCGCAGCTATTAGCTGGGGGATTAGGCACTGGCCGGCCGCCGAAGAGTGGACACCTGTGTATAATTGACACCTGTTGAAATGCAGTGGGTGGGGGTGATTATTCCCCAAACACACATTAACATTCCCTGTACACAAAAACTGTAACCACCATCTTTTAAGTAAATTACCCTCAGGAATTGTTTGTTAAAATAAAGAACATTGTTGACCGCATTGTTAATCATCACATATGAGGCAATTTAATTTAAAATAGACATCTTTTTCCTTTGAATAAGATTAAACCAGTAAAACTGCGGTTGAAAATTTCCCTAATTTTTGTGCTCGTGCAACCAATGAAAAAAAAAGTTGGGCGAACCAGTGCAATGACTCAGGCCCAGCTAAGCTATTTTAAAGTTAGTCAGTGATCAAATTATTATTTTTGAGCTGGTTACTTGATGTAAAAATGTTGAGAAGCACTGGATTAGACATTACCATTGGTAAGCAACCGATGTGAAGGTTAGCAATGGGCACCGAAGTTGTCTTTCCTTGATGGTTCATCGCTGTCACCTCCACCACGTTATTCTCCTCCAGGGCACCTTCCCCCAGACATATCTGTGGGACCAATAGAGCATGAAATATTTCTTATAAAAAAAACTTTTTTTTTGTATTTTAAGGCATCTGCTATACCGTTCTGAATTCAATGAAGTGCTCCAGGTCATCGTCCTCCTCATCTCCCTGGATGCAGTAAAAGGGAACTTTGGAAGAGAGCTCGCAACCTACGAAACACACATAGTAATATAACACAAAGCGACAAAACATTTATCAATTCGTGGCAATATCACGTACAGATGTTAAACCGAAATTAACATTACAAGCCATTCGCGTTTTCCAAACCCACGTGTGCGCCGGGAGTTAAGCTAGCTAACGGAATTTGCTATTTATTTTAAACTGCTTTAAGCTTCTCACTGAACAGGAAGCTCTCCATCTTTGTTCGACCCGCCAAGCCGACATCTGAAGATTCTTCGTCCATGAAAGACATTTTGCGGGACGGGGAAAGCGCCGCAAATGGGTTTGTTGACAACACGTTGGGCTACACGGGCAAAAATAAATAAAATAACGTCGCCGGATTGTGGCGTATAAGTGATGTCATCAACCGCGCCACGTTTCCAGCGCCTCCCTCTGTGTCAACTCTTATCAACAAATACGAGTGAGAAAAACGTAGAGGTCAAAACAAATACCACGTTGTACTCGTTTTTCACCATAATGCTTACGATAATTTATTGATAAATTATTGTCCTGAGTTCTTCCGTCATACATATACATATATATATATATATATTTTATTTACTTTGGACAGTAGTCATTGGTATTGACAGGCTTGGGGAGTAACGGAATAGATGTCCCGCGTTCGTATTCAGAATAGTAAAAAAAATTATGTATGTAACGGTATTCCGTTACAGTTACAAAAACACGTAATCAGATCGAGGTACATTTATTGAAAACGTGGATAGTTTCGCAGGGTTACAATTTCAGACAGAGAGACGCCGTTTTTTTGGAGCTCTCAATGCAAGAAGTGGATACTTATAGTAACAACCGTCGTGTCGCTCAATGGGCCGCCGTTACTCCACTCGAGACAGTCTAAAGCAATTTGGACCCATTAAACATGGTGCTGATGTGAAATGTTGCATTGAAAGGAACATTACAATTAAAAAATTTTAAACCCAAGACCTTTGAAACACACAACATAATCATTTGGAAGGTTCTATTTATTTTCAAGTTTATTAATCTTACATACAAATTTTACATGTAAACTGCCCCTAAACTTGCAATATTTACAATACAATATGAGCAGCCCTTTCACTCAATCACAGCCTGTCCCCATGAAGAGGAAACCATGTGACAAGCGTGAAGTACATCCTACGTTCATATGTGAAATGAGTTCCTAGGAGTACGTGTTGAGCAAAGGGACTGCAAAGGTAACAAAATATTTTCCTTCAGGCCAAACAGAATGCTTGACACCGACTCAGTAAGGGTATGCAAAATAATAACACTTAATGTTTAACACCTGTCTACAGTTTCACGTTCACAGAGACACGTCGCATGCGTCTTTCTTTCTGTGCCTTGAAATGAGGCTATCCGAAATAACCACCATGACAGCCTTAAGATCAACAGATGTTTTTTGTTTTTTAAACCAAAGTGCTTGATTGTTCACTATTTAGGTTTTTACAAGAAATGTGGGAACCCCATCTGAAGGCAAAACATTCAACATGAAATAGAAAAAAAAAGTGCCACTTCGGTGACAGGATGAATAACTGGAGCGATCATAGGGGTCCAGTGCAGCAAAGACATTCATGCTAACATGACAGTGCTAAAAAGGAACCAAATCCGGAGGGGAAAAGAATTACTTCACAGAATAAATATCCTGCTGCCCAGATTACCTGCTGATGTAGACACCGGATGCTGATGAAGTGGTTGGGAAGGAACTGAGCAGTCATCCAATGTAAAACACCGGGCATGATTTTCTTTCTCTTAAAACAAAGGGGGCGGTTGGAATTTTACAGATTTTTGGTCCCGTGGTAAATTTGATACTTAAGAACAGGGGTGGAGAAACATATAACTTTGGATCCTGCCTACTATGCAATTGTAGAAACAAATAGAACCTCAAACCGCCCAAAACATTTGCGTTTTCTGTTGCATTGTATTCTGCCACAAATGTATGATGGCCCTTGGAGGACTTGATAAAAAGTGAATTGGCCCCTCATAGGAAAAAGGTTCCCCACCCCCGATTTAGATCAGTAAACAATTTGAGAAAGAAGAAAAAGTGAAAAGAATTCCATAACATAAGCTAATGTGTCATTTTCCATAAACGGAGGTCTTCTGAGACATAATTTCCAAAATTAACTAAGCCTTCTTGTATCAGCTTTAAAAGGTGGTGACAGAAGACACCGAGGTCTGTTAGAATGCTAAACACTCAAAGGCAAAGAACCAAAAGGCAAAATGTTCACGAGGGGCTGGGAAAAAAAAAAGCACAGCGTCGAGCATAAATTCACTATTGCTTCAAAGACCTCCTTAAAGATCCACTCCGGTGTGCGACGATCTTGTGAATTCAAATTGTGCATGTGTAGCCACTCAGCGCCACTTGTATGAAAAAAAAAAAGTAATCCATGGAACAATCGTGGCGTGACAATGAAGCAGCGAGAATGTAACATTGGGAACTGTGTCTGAATATACACGCTACCCTCATTTCACAGCTCTTGCGGTGTGCAGAGACTTTAGGCGAAGGTGTTTCTGTCATTTGCATGTAATGGCCTCTGGAGGAATAAAGGCAGCAAAAAAAACAAAACAAAACATAATTTCCTTCCTCCTGGAGGTGTACGAGTGTTGGGCCTCCGGATTGGACAAGTGCACTGTCACTCTTCCATGCTGGCTCATCTCCACTGATCACACCTTGGCCTTGTTGGCTTGCAATCAGCTCATCCTAAGAGAGCAGGACTAAAAAAAAAAAAAAAAAAAAACCAACAGGTGTCTCTGCGAGCACAGGCAGTCATATAGCTTTTAAACCATCATGGAAGTTGTGTCTCATGAAGGTTCTGTGATCGCGGGTTGCCCTCTCTCTTGCTCAGTCTGTAATTTGAACATTGCCTCATAAGCTTCGCCCCATTATGATGACATCTTTGGGAAAGCCCTCCATCTTGGCCACCTCAAAGCATCCCAGCTTACTATAGAAGTCCAACATTCTCTTGTCAGTCTGGCGAACCTTGCAGAATGCACCCTGGGAGCCTGGACATGGCAGACAAAAGGCACAGGAGCCATGTTATCAAAAAAAGAAAAAAAAAAGCTAAATCATCTCTCAGCATTACTGGCAAAATTTGCAACAGTCTGTTCACGTTTATGTCTTTTTGTGACTCTTCAAATCTCTGTTTTGCGACCTGCTGATGACAGCTGTTACATTGGAAGCTCAGTAGCAACTTCCCACTGAGAACTTCCTGTTAATGCCTCGAAATTGCGAGGTACTGTTCATCAGGTGAGTGTGGCTTTGGTCCCATGATGTCATGATGGAACGTTTCAATACCAAGCGTAATTGAACCAGAAAAGCCATTGGTTGATTTACCGATTAAACTCCTGTTACAATACCTAAAGTTGTGTCGAAACACTGAAAAGTCAGACATGTGCATTCAAATGGTTTGGAGAAGATCAAATCAAGCTTACCGGCAAAGGTTAAAGTGCACTTTTAGTTAATCGTGAGAAATAGTCCACAAGTCCACAAGCACTAACTTTTTGAGGGTAGTGTCTGCTGTGGCTAGAGAAGTGATTATGGCTGCCACCTACCGTTGGCCTTAAGGGAAGACAACAGACATCCCATCATGCTTTTGGCCACACTGGGATCAGTGACCTTTGCATGAATGTCAACCTTGATGAGGGAGGGGAAGTTGGACAGGAACGATTCCGGAAGACCCTCCTCTTCCTCATGGAAACTCAAAATCATCTTCTACGGAGAAACGGACAGAAAACTGATCAAGGTCACAGAACCATGATGACAACAAAGCGGGGAGGAGAAGAAGTTACCTCAGCCTCCGTGAGGTCCTTTTGACCATCAGGTTTGAGGTACTTCTCTTGCATAAAAGGAATCCAGCTCATCTCGCATTTCTTGATAAAGGGCTTGACGTCCACCGTGCCCAAAGCGTAGCCGCAGATGCCTTCATCATCCTCCAGCACAAAGCCGTAGTCCGGGCTCAAAGACAGAAGACCTCCAACCAACCTGTCATAACACAAGTCAAAGCATTAAAATGGTCACATGGTAATGATGGAAAATGTATGCAATCCTGGAATGATTTCTACAGCGGATTTAGAAAATCAACATACAGAGCTCAGGTGAAATACCAGGCTCTTGTGTTTCAAAAAAAAAAAAAAAAGACCGATAATTTGACCTATTTCCTAAAATCCTTTTCCAGCAAAAGTAATAATAAATAATTTGCGAACAGGCTTTTCCTGGCATGTTTCTGGTTTCATCTTGCAGCACAAGCTTTTCAATTATGAGATGCTTCAAACAATCGATGTTAGCACAAAACTAGGTGTGTCCTGATCCGATATCGGCCCAAAAAACATCATCATCGGATTATATCGGTGTACATCCAAAATCTCCGATATTAGCACTTAAATCCAAGCAGACGATTCCAGCCTCCGGTCCTGTTCTTCGATCCAGCAATTGTAATGTGCGTCTCAAAGAGAAATGAGTCTCACTTGTCACCGATGAGGTCAGATTCCTGCTCTGAGGAAGGTGCATCCTCCATTCCTTCATAGTACATTTCTTTACAAATTTTATACACCGAAGCCTGAAACGAAAAAATAAATGAATTAAATTAAAATAGGAGAGAGACCTGTGAAAGTGGCATATTCAGCAGGGAATGCAAGTAACAGCAAAATATATTTTGCATGCATACATACAATTTAAAAACACCTCACCTCATCTTTGGCAAAGTAGGGCCTTATTGAATAGATTTTGGAGGTAGGCAGTGAGGGAGGAGGCTGGTAGAAAAGATCGTTTGCCCCATCTATTGGCAACAATCTCTGTGGATGTCAAAAGACACTGGTTCAGTTTCCTTGAGTGGGAGAGTGAGGAAGGCTTTGGTGCTTTGGCCAACCGCCTTGCTATGCATTTGCTACAATGAAACCACTGTTAAACCAAGAGGACGTGTAAGATGAAGCCAAGCGCTCAAGAAAATAGATCAAAATATAGAAATACGATGATTTAAAAAAAAAAAAATCCACTCCTTGTTGATCTGACAGTGGGCCACCGGAGCAAACATCAGCGCAATGTCAATGTTACTTTTGGAGCACAGCGCGACAAACAAGCGCACTTGTGTTTGCTTTGCATATACAGCAAAACAAAACAAGGGCGGTATTTGGTCTGACCAAGGTTTTACTTGCTGAAGGAGATGCTCCCTTTCCCTTGAGTAAGGCATCGCAATATTTCGCTGCGCAACCCTCCTGTTGAGAAAAAAATAATGAAGCTTGCGCCAAGAGAACTCCAGGGGGAAAAACATAGGTCAGATTTGAGCTAGGAGAGTCGGTCAATTATATGTCAGTTGCCATTGGGAGTTTCATTCCTCTCCCAAAGATGGAGAGGTTACTCTAGCCCGGACAGCTACGTTTTATCCTGGAGTTTTCTCCCCCATTGCAAATGTGCACGCGAACTCGCTTGCGCTGCGATGCTTGCGCGGGCGCTCGCAAAGAACTGGCGTGGGAATTTGTGCGCTTCCTGCAAAGAAATGAGATGTCATGAAAAGAAAAGTAAAAACGCTTGCTGTGCTCGCATGCGCCGCCTGCGCTAAGGGAAGGGCAGCATCTCCTTGGGCAGTTGCTGAAAGAAATCCAAATGGATAAAAGTTTGGACTGTAAGCTCACTTGCAGGAGCAAGTTTAAAGTGACTGTTAAGGCAACGAATTAACCACCCGCTGCCAACCCCTCTCCGAAAAAAAACCTCAGGAGAAGTGAAGGGGGTTGACTTCCACACTGTTTAACAATCAGCTCACCTTGACATACCAAATCCCTTCATACCGGCACACATTGACCATTGTCTGCTTACAACACTTTTTCTTTTCCATTTGATTGCGGCAAATTCAGTGCATTAGATACCTGGAACTCTCCTGCTAGACCTCCCCTAAAGGCCCACGGTTCTTGGTCTCCTTTAGGGAATTGTGCTGAGGATTGACTACGACACCCTGTTAGGAGCAGAGCCAAGCGGAGAGTGTTACCAAAGCATGGGCTCTCGCACACGGGGGGGAAATTGCGGAGAGGAAGGAAGGGCGGTTATCTGTTTCTAAAAGCACAATTCAATCGGAATTCAAGCATTGAAAATAAACGATAGCGCCTCTTTTGGATTCTTTTAGGCTGAAAGGGGGCTCAAGCAACTAAAGCTTACGTGACTACGATACGAGCAGCCTCAACTCCAAGACAGCAAAGTGGAAACATCGTGCAGGCCTAGACAACGTGAATCTCATGGAATACATCTCGCACGCTCCCCCAAATTTAGATAAAGCTACATTTCCTTGCCACGAGACTGTCAACTAAACAGCATAGTGTATTGTATGTAAGCTTCAGCTGCCGTCGCCCCCGTGGGTCTCAGCACCCGGTGTGAAGTCACATTCTCTTCTCAACTCATCTGCCTTGTCACATGAGTGGGGAGCGCGACTCATCAAACCACGCCGACCCCTGAGGGCCCACAACGCACCGGTCCTGTCTGCTTACCATTCCAAAACAATAAAACTAAAGGGGCAGACCAGATTAAGAACTATAATATGGCGACAGCGTGTTAAAAAAAAAAAAAAGGAACCGCAAAGACCCTGCTCCGATGTTTGTGAGCAGTTTGAAGAGAGGCTCTGTTGCATGAGCAGACAAGTGGAACGCGACTGCGTGAACCCTAGAACGGCTTAACAAAAAGTATCATGAAGCACTTCCGACACAGCAAGCGGATGCACCCACGGGGAGGAACGCTGAAATTGCTTCAACTTAATACTATCGAATGACCCAGAATGGAGAAAAAGCATCTCTTACTGCTTTCACTCACATAATAAAATGAAAGACATCATGCAGCCTTAGCTAGCAGAGTCCAATCTGACAAACATAAGGATCAGAACTACATAGACGGAAGGGTAGGATCAAGCATGAGGGTTAACTTTGGAAGCAAAGGGTAAATTCCCTTGAGTAGGTGCATCTGGCTGGTCTGAGCCACATCTACAAGCCTACTGACAGAAACAAACCCAAAAGAAAAGCACAAGTTAGAGAAGCTGCCAGAAAAAAAGAGAACATTTGGGAGTTAACACTCAAAGTTCAACATCGCTGCGCAAAAATGTGACTTCCTCCGGGGGTGGGGCAGCCTCCTTTCCTCCAATTAATCTATCATAATTATCAGTCGCATTCAAGAAAAAGGCATGAATCCGTTTCGCCTGCACTGCACATACATCGGCCACTGTCGATCCAATAGCAGTAGAAACTTGTACTGTGGATTCTTCCATCTGTACATAGTGAAGGGAGAAAACAGTAGAAGATCATTATTAATAGTGGCACTCAGTACAAAAAAAAAAAAAACAAGGCGACTAAGTGCCGGCTGCACAGCTTGCAGCATGTTGACGAGATGGGGAGTCAATTGTGCACATGACAATGCGGCACTCAGCCTTCAAATTGTGGTTTTGCTAGCGTGGGTTTGCTGCCTGCTGTGTACTGGAGTCCTCAGCTTTACCATTTAGGACAGAAACCTGTAAATGAAACTGGGTTACACGGAGTAACCTCCAGGCCATGCTGGTGCTTCAGTCCACTGACAACACACATTCATGTTCAAGCCAATCGGTGTTAATCAACTGAAACAGGGTGGACCATCTGACATACCAGTAGTCACATGTAGACAAAATATTGTATTTCCTTCAACAGTGGCCTCAACCCTAATAGATGCTTTGCTTTGATGAATCACTGGGGGTGTTGTCTATTTGAATAAATAAACGCTGTACCATAAATTGAGTCATCCTCTGCATGTTCGCGGTTCACAAATTCAAATTAATTTTTTTGAGTAACCTATCCCGAGCCAACTGCTGAAAAAGTCACCGAGTGCCGGTTTTGTGCTCTTTCTGAAATGGTCTAAGATGTCGCCCAAGCCCCTTCTAAACAGGAACGTAATGTCGTAATTGGTGTTGAGGTAGCTTGGTAAGTGACACATCTCGACTGAGAGACAAGCTTGGAATATCAGGTTAGAGCTAAATTTAGCTTGAACTGTTGGTGGAAGTAACGGAGTCTTCACTACACGCACACCTATAAGTGCACTTCTGATGCATTTTTTTTCTACCACTCAATTTGGTGAAGCTCACATTCTTTCATAAATCAATACAATTGGTCAATCTCCATGTTGCCCTTTTTTTTCACTATGATGAATGACGTGTAGCGGTGGATATCTTTACCAAAACACCGTCCTACACAGCCGATAAGGCAATCTGTAAAACTAAAGCCATCAGTTTAAAGAAACGGTCAGCGACAGAAGCTGCAACGATACATATATTATATACGATATATACATATACGATTGTATATATTTATTATGACACGGTATTATAAGGCAACACATATTTTAATTGAATATCATTATTCATTAGAAAACTATCTAATTATATAAGAATTTGTATTGATATTCATAATAAAAATAATACTTATAAAAATATGTTTACACAAATAAGTCCCCCCAATAAATGTTTTGCCCCTTAAGAGGTCTTGAAATCTATACGATTAGGTAAATAAATGCCACTGAGGAAAAATAGCATTTTGGTAGAGGTGGTGGGGCGAAAGGATGGAATTCACCCTGTTCCAGACTTTTAAGTAACAAATTAGCCTCATTACAAGTCTCCTCTTTGAAGTAGAATTTTTGAAAAAAATACACGTGTATGACTTTTTTTATGCACCAGAATGGCCTTCCATAGTCAGTGAATCAACTTGCTGTCCAAGCTCGCATGCGCGCTAGGGCGTGGAGGAAGGGGATGCCCCACAGGTGCCCATCCCCACAGGCAGAGATGGAAGTGAGTGGCTCCGTGTGGGAGTGCAGTCGTGACGATACTGGATACACAGCAAGCAGCAGTAGCCCTTGATAGGGTCATTTGCCACTGAGATTTGATTTGGATTTGTTCAGTACATCAGGGAGATGCTAGCGGCACAACCAGCATTTAGTCAGATTTAAAGAAAAAAGTCACTGTGTATGCATAAAATGAGAGACTGCTTTTACGCTGCATCTTAAATTAGCTTGAAAATACTAAAAATTAAAAATGAGAAGGGCCATACATCCTGTATTCAGGGTGGCCATGTTCCTTAGTTACTTTTTTGGTTCATGACCAATGCGATCCGTGAAGCGGACTGAGAATAAGCCACAGCCCTTTTATGTATATGAATGAATAATGCAAATATGCCTGCTGAGGTTTGATGACCAAGTTAATCCAGTTGCTTGAGACAAAAGACCAGTATGGTTCCGCCTATACCCACCTAGCCACTGGACAAAGGACTTGACCATGGAAATGATGCTCTTGATGTCCCAGATGTAAGGGTAGAGGTCATACAGGATAGTGCGGTTGGCCGAATTGGACAGACGTGTGAACATCTGAATGACCGAGCAGCACATGTCCTCAAACTTCTCTGCTCTCAACTGCCATTCTGCAACCTGAAGGACAAAATAGCTCCAATTCATGCCAAAATTCAAAATTGAAGACTTTGTGGTCTAAGTCCACTTCATCTCTAGTTGATGCTACACCACCCGATGGACATTACGGGTAGCACATATCCACCATTTTGTTTCACAGCACCAGCAACTTCTTTTCACTTTGGGGTTCAACAAACTGACACATTTCCAAAGAAATGACCAACCTTCTCGTCTTCTTTCATCTTGCGGTTGACGCTGACAACGCTGCTGTTGGCTCTCAGCCAGTTGAACTCTTTCAACATCTGCATGGCCTTGGGGCCATGCTCGTAAGGCAGGTAGAAGAGTTCCGCTAGGAGGCACAGGTCCTCAATGGAGAGCGGCTCCACGGCGAACAGCGGCTTCTCATTGGGACCCGGCGCAAATACGTCCTGTGGGGAACACCGCAACGGTCAGAAACTTTTTGGGGTCAGAGGAGGAGTAAATTCGAAACATACTTTGCAATATATATATATATATATATATATATAAATCCTCGTCTCACCCCTCGGGTGGTGTCCATCCCCCATTCAGCTCGGGTCCTCTACCAGAGGCCAGGAAGCTTGAGGGTTCTGCGCAGTATCCTTGCTGTTCCCAGCACTGCACATTTCTGGACTGAGATGTCCGATGTTGTTCCCGGGATCTGT